GGGAGAAAATACCACAGGGGTTTCTATCAGCATTCTCTGGAAATCTGAAAAAGTAATAAAATAAATTTATTTATAAAAAATAAAAATAAAAATAAATATGCAGAAACAAACACCATAAAAGACGAAAGAGACACAAAGACAATATATAAAGAACAAACATACAAAAAAAAAAAAAAAAAAAAAAAAAAAAAAAAAAAAAAAAAAAAAAAAAAAAAAAAAAAAAAAAAAAAAAAATAAAAACGAAACCAGCAAAAAATAAAACTAGAAAAAAAAATAAAAATAAAATAAAAAAATAAATAAAAAAATAAAAAAAAAAAGTTTACCTCTTTGCCAGTACTCTGATTTTTTTGCTTCTACTGCTTCTCTTTCGCATGCAACCAACGCCTCCCTCCTGCTGTGTTTTTTGCTGCATAGAAAGTATAAATATAATTATTTTTATTTTTATAAATATAAATATATTTATAAATAAATTAAATAAATATATTTGTAAATAAACATATAAATGTGAAATTAATAATGTTAATAAATAATAATAATATATTATAATTATTATAATTATAGTAATAAAAATAAGAATAAAAAAAAAAGAAAAAAAAAGAAAAAACTAAAAGCATATATGATGTATATATATCTATTCATTTGTTGCTATTCAATCTAGGGTTTAGGGTTTAGTATTTTTAGGGTTTAGGGTTTAGGGTTTGCCGTTTAATAATTTTAAGGGTCTAGGGTTTAGGATTTCCCCTTTAGTATTTTTAAGGGTTTAGGGTTTAGCATTTTTAAGGGTTTAGGGTTTAGGGTTTAGTATTTTTAAGGGTTTAGGGTTTAGGGTTTAGTATTTTTAAGGGTTTAGGGTTTAGGGTTTAGGGTTTGGGGTGTATATGTTGCTTACAGTTTATGCTGAGTTTGTTTGAGTATTTGTTGTGTATTTATATTTAATGCTTTTTGTTGTATTTTCAGAGCTATTTGTCTTTCTTTCAGAGCAGAAGATAAAATAGATAAATGTATATTTATTTCTTTTTTTAGTTTTTTTTCTCTTTCTCTTAGTTCCTCTGTCTTTGCCTCCAGCAAGGAATGAGCCTGCAGCAACAAACATATTTATTTTTTTCTCTATTTGTTTCTCTGCTTATATGTTCTATATATATAATATATATATATATATGTTATATATAATATACATATATATATATAATATACATATATATATATAATATATATATATATATATATATATATA